CCGACATTTGAGCGACCGACATTTGAGTAATAACGACCGTTCAGCACCAAGTGCTCACTCTCACCATTACCCCCACTCACCCACACCCACCCTTACCCTACACAGCCTCACCCTCAGATCTCCAAATTTTGTGAAGGAGGTGTTCCACCTTGTTCTAGCTTTTCCCGATTTTATCACATTTTGTTAGCAAAGATGGCCGAAAATTGGAGAAAACAGCAAATATCTGCTCAAAAACCGTAAAAATTTCAAACAAAAGTTTTGCAAAGTCGGGGGATGTACCCACCCCTCACGCCAATGGGCGCTCCGCCACTGAAAGTAATATCATATATAACATAATATGTTTCATTACATATATAAGCGGACATACTGACTTTGTTTAATCGCGATATTTCTTTATTATAATTACATAAAAATTTAATCAGTTTATTTATATCTAATATTAATTTTAAGTGTTCTGTATTTTTCTTATGTCTTTGCTTATTGTAGTGGTCTACTTTTGGTATGATTTTATCATTTAATAAAATTTTATTTATTGGACATTTATTTTCATAATAATGAGAATCACCATTCGGACCTAAATAAGTTGTTTTTGATAAATCTGCAATTCATTTTAAACCATACGCATTTAATCCTTGTAAGACATCGTAATCATCAACAATTGTAACTTCATTTAAATAATATTTCATTCCATATTCATTCCAAATATGTTTTCGAATTAATTCATACATATTTTCATAATTTTCCGTATGAATAAATCTCCATTCCCCACCTTCTGTTGCTGTACATGCTGATATATTTTCAATTAATAATTTTTTATTAGTAAATTTTTTTAACATTAATTTTTCTACTGCCGTATCTTTATCATATTGTTGACAATCTTTGATAAAGTAATATTCATTAGTATTTTCATTATATTCATCACTGGAAGAATCTTTAACCGTAATTTTCTCGAAATAATCATCACATGTAGCAAATAGATCATCATAAAATCCCATTCAAACAAGAAATAAAACTTGAGGGCGTGTTTTTTTGTCTATCGAATGATATATGGCATGATTTGCTTCCATTTGTTCTGATATTAGGAAAAAAAGTTACTTTGTCAACTGAATTTAAAGTCTAGTAAATCACTGGAATAAGATAAAAGTTTGGATGTAAGACACGTAGTCCCAACAATCAAAGACTTTTTACCAATCTTGAGTCAAACATTTGTTATTACTAATTGAGAAGTAATAGAGTAAACTTCGTCGGCTTTCACAAACTTATTCTGGTGGCCAACATTTCAAAAACAATCTACTTAACATTGTAAAAATTCATTTTTTTGCCCAACTACAGTTACAAATGATGTTTTATATTGTCATAATTAGGCATCTGACGTACCGTACAGTCTGTTGCTATTATCTTACTGGAAGAAATCGATAAAAAAGAAACATATTAAATCGCTTTATTAATACCAAAAACTCTTTAGATTTGGTGTTCTCTGTTAGCATTGTGCCTTTCTTTTGTTGATATTTTAGCCATATTTACAAATTTGAAGTAAAAAACGTTGCAGTAAGGCGCTCCAAATTCAAAGATCAAGCACTATTTTTGAATTCATTTGTAAGATACATCACTCGACGCAGAATTTGGCGCTGATCAAGCAGTTATTGAACGATGACGGTGAGATCGAAAAATCGAAAAATGATTATGAAGTAAGGCAAGGTCTGACAAGTGAGCCTCTCTCTTCTACCGACAATGGTTAACGGTCAAATTATTATCTCGAG